CCTATTCCATTGGTCCTGGGGTCTGTTCTTGTGCCAGTACCAAGCTGTTTTGATTACTATGGCTTTGTATTAGAGTTTGAAATTTGATATTGATATTCCTCCAGCACTGTTCTTTCTGTTAAAGATCATTTTTTGCTATTTGGGGTCTTTTATTGTTCCATATGAATTTTTGGATTGCCTCTTCTATTTCCTTGAAGAACCAGGTTGGAATATTGATAGGTATCACATTGAATTTGTAGACAGCCTTGGGAAGTATTGCCATTTTCAAGATGTTCATCTTTCCAATCCAGGAGCATGGGAGTTTTTGCCACTTTCTAAGTTCTGTTTTGATTTCCTTTTTTAGGTTTTTAAAGTTTTCATCATAGAGATTCTTCACTTCTTTGGTTAATTTCTAGGTATTTTATTTTTTTGTGGGGCAATTCCAAATGGAGTTGCTTTCCTGATTTCAGCCACACTTTTCTCATTGTTGGCATTCGGAAAAGCCATTGATTTTTGAGGGTTAATTTTATACCCTGCTACTTTGCCAAAGTTTTGAATCAGCTTGAGTAATTTGGGAGCAGAGTCCATGGGATTCTTTAAATACAAGATCGTGTCATCTGCAAAGAGGGAGAGTTTTACTTCTTCTTTTCCTATTTGGATCCCCTTTGTGTTTGCATCTTGTCTTATTGCTGTTGCTAGGCATTCTAATACTACATTGAAGAGCATTGGGGAGAGTGGACATTCTTGTCTCATTCCTGAGTTTAGAGAAATGGCTTTAGTTTTTCACCATTGAGTATATACTGTCTGTAGGTTTGTCATATACAGCCTTTATTGTATTGAGGATTCCTAATTTTTCCAGAACCTTCATTATAAAGGGGTGTTGGATCTTGTCAAATGCTTTTTCTGCATCTATTGAGATAACCATGTGGTTCTTATCCTTGCTCTTATTGATATGATGAATTATGTTAATTGATTTGCGTATATTGAACCATCTTTGCATCCCTGAAATGAATCCTGTTTGATCGTGGTGTATGGTTTTTTGGATGAATTGTTGAAGTTGATTGGCCAAAGTTTTGTTGAGAAGTTTTGCATCAATGTTGATCAAAGAAATGGGTCTATAGTTCTCTTTCTTTGATGAATCCCTGCCTGGTTTTGGCATGAGGGTTATTAAGCTTCATAGGATGAATTCGGTAGTGAACGTTCCCTTTCAATTTCATTGAAGAGCTGAAGGAGTATTGGTGTGAGTTCTGCTTTGAAGGCCTTGTAGAATTCTGCTGTAAGATCATCTGGTCCTGGGCTTTTCTTAGATGGAAGGTCTCTTATTGTTGTTTCTATTTCAATGCTTGATATGAGCCTGTTAAGATGGTTTAACTCATCTTGGTTTAGTTTTGGCATGTCGATACAGACATTTTATTGAGATGGGAATCTCTTTACATTTTGTCCAGCCTGGCCTTAATGTATTATTCCTCCAATCTCTGTCTGTTGAATACTGGTGATTTATAGGTAGGAGCTACCACACCCATCTTCAAATCTTTATGGTTTTTAAAAGCAAAAGTAAGATAGTAGGAAAAAAATTGATGATTTGAACTTTTAACTTGGAGTTTCAAGATAAAAAGTTTTAATGCAAAAATGTTTATAATGACAATAAAATGCATGGAAGAAAAAAATAAAAAAGAAAGATATAGACAGAAATATTCTGCATGCCAATCTCATTTCTGCTGCCTAGTGTTGGGTCTTCATCAGTCTTTGGACGGACAGGGTCGGAGGAGAGGTAAGTGTGAAGTGAAGTGCAGCTGCTCGCCCATTCCCCAGCCTCCCTTAGCCCAGTAGCCCAGGAGACAATCAGATGCAGCCGGGAGTCAAACCAAGCAGGAACTCGTTTATTAACAGGGAGCATCCCCTTTTTAAAGCAAAAGACTGCATGGGAGGAGAGGAAATGGAACCAACCAATCACTGAAAGGCCACACCTTATCATGCACCTAAGCTTCCATGAGATGTTTACACACTGAACCTAAACAAATCCAGCTCTGCCCACTCAACTTCCTCTCAGGGCCATCTTTGCTATCCCCCACAGCCTAGGTAATGTGTAGTCTCCATTTTTCTTTGTTTTATAATAAATGTCTAAATAAATAAAATAAAAAGTGTATAAGTATGCTTAAGGTCTTGAAATTGGTATCCACTTGATGTTCACAGGCCATTTTTAATTTCAAGGAAAATTAGATATAATAAATTTTATCTTCATCAACACTAAGTTGCACTATATAGCTTTCACTTCAGATTTGCAAATGTAACATTAGTAATAAGACTATGAATGTAAATGTCTAATGTGTGGTAGTTGAAAGAGCAAACTCCTTTATATTTGTGTAATATATATGCATAAATATGTTATATGTGCATATATATGTTACATTTTGAGCTTTGAAACTTTTAAAAAATAATATCTTACAGATAACAACTCTTTCTTGTATAAGGCAGTCATGGGGAAAAGTATTTGTTGATTAAATGCCACTTTGTGTGTTTCTATAGTCAAAATACATGCTATTAATTACTCTATATCTTCTGCCTTTTAGTAGAATTAAAATATGATATATGACAAGTTAAGCATTGTTAATGTGAAATAAATGTCAAATCGTAAGAATTCTATTTCAGTTACATATTTTTATAAATTGTGTTAGTTAACTCAAGAAATTTTTCATTTACATCTTGATGGTGATAATAATAGTTAAGTGTATTAACTGTTTTCAGATATTTAATTAGAAAAAGCATATATCAATTTAATAATTTGCTCTTAAAGACACTTTGTTTTCCACAAAACTATGGTGAGTTTTGCCTGTCATCTTATATATGTACGAGTTTTATTGTAGATATTTATTATATATCAGAAGGAATAATATTACCACATTTTAAAAACTTCTATATTTTGTCAAATGATGTTACTGGAGTCAACATGCACCAATATATTCAGAAACATCACAGGCACATTCCATGTCTGTTTTGTGAAACTGTAATGTGGAATTATTCTCTTCTTACCTCAGGCTTTAAAAAAAACGTAAAAATAAAAGATTTTATTGAGCCACATAAGGAGTTAATCCTTAATTTTGAGATTGAAATCTAAGCTGAAAATAGGTCTAAATATGTCACACCATGCTACTGAGCAGTTTAAATATTTCTGATATGAATTGATTTCAAATGATGAAGCTCTAATCTTTCTGAATGTTTGAACTCAGATGTTAGCATAAGGCATTTATTCTGATTTTATTTATGGATAAATTATCTGTGCATTTGTTTTATTTCTAAATAACACACTGAGAGCTCAAACACACAGCAACCAAACCACTCCTACCAGGGCTCCTAAACATAACCCTGCCACACCTAAAATGCCTACCATTACTGCAGGTTATGATATCTGTCCAGTGAAAATTACAACTTGGTATTCACTCAGGATAAAAAATGCAGATAAACATGCATTTAATAAGGACATGCTGGGCTGCAGCTTTTTCATCAAACACTTAAAATAGAAACCTCAGAAAATCTATATTAAGCAAAGGCATTTTTCCCGACTCTCCCCTAGTGAATGCACAAATAATTTATCCATAAATAAAATCAGAATAAATGCCTTATGCTGACATCTGAGTTCAAACATTCAGAAATATTTCATGTCAAACCCTGATTATGAGAACTCAACCACCTCGTTTTTTCTGATTGGAGAACTTAATGTACTTAGGGACTGCATTGAATTAGGCAGTTTGGATATTCCTTTCATGAACAAAACGTCAGACCTACTGCATGGTAAAAGATGGATAATTTGTGCTTGTCAGTTACTTGTTTTAATTCAGGTTGTAAAATTAAAAAGTTAAATAACTATCTTCACCAGAAAAGTACAAGGACTAAAACAGCTGTAGTGTTTACAAGGGAAAGACAATATCCAAGGGAGCTATAACAATATAAAAAAAACTGAAAATTTGGTTTAAAACTCTAACCAACTGAATTCTCTTTTTTATTTTGCAATTTTTTTAATTGTGAAAATACCATACAGAGGGGTTACAATTACATGAGCAAGGTAATGACTACATTTCTTATCTTTTCTTTTCCTTTTTCCTTTATTGTGGAAATACGGTACAGAGGGGTTACAATTACATGGGCAAGATAATGAGTACATCCCTTATCAAGCATTGTTGCCTCCTCCTTTGTTTCCCCTTCCCAACCCTTCCCATACCCCTTACTCCCCTCCTACCTGCTTCTCCCCCCCACCCCCCGCACCCGACCAAAGTTGTAAAGTTCATTTTTCAACATAACGTCTTGTACATCTCATTGTTGCAATGGGTCCACCTGTATCCCTATTTAAACAATTTTTTTTTACCCTTCTGCTCCACAAATTATACCAACATCAAAAACAGTGAAGGCAGGGGTTATACTGTGGGGGAGGGCCATACAAAGCAACAAAGAAATCATCTTATAAATATGTTAGAAACAATAGCAAGCAAGAAAAACCATTTGAGTCCTTCTCTTGGGGTTCATTTCGCCTAACATCAACTTATCTGACCATTTCTGCTGTCTCAGACATATACTAGTTATTGCAAATAAGGGAAACCATGGGACCTATGTTTCTTTGGGCCTGGATTACTTCACTTGCAGCTTTATTTACCATAGCTAAGGTATGGAACCAACCCAGATGCCCCTCAGTAGATGAATGGATCAAGAAAATGTGGTATATATACACAATGGAATTCTATGCCTCCATTAGAAAGAATGACATTGCTTCATTTGTTAGGAAATGGAAAGACTTGGATTCCCATTTTCATTGTAAAATTCCCCACACAATTCTGTGTTTATGTCATTTTGCTCAGTACAAAAACTGTCACATCTTGCTTAGATTTGAGCAGCACAGTCTGCTTTTGATGAAGGTTATTTCTCACTTTTAATTTTCATTGTGTGGATGAAGGAACAACGTATAGAACATGGTATTGACTTCCAGTTGCTGCGTATCTAAACAGACACATGTCTCCGTTTATGTCTTTTAGCCTCTCCGTCAATTAAACTCCTGGTGGATGACCCTATAGTTGTGAATCCTGGAGAGGCCATAACATTAGTGTGTGTTACAACGGGAGGAGAGCCTGCACCTTCCCTTACCTGGGTCAGGTCCTTTGGGACTCTTCCTGAAAAGATTGTTTTGAATGGAGGAACTCTGACTATACCCGCCATCACCTCAGATGATGCTGGTACTTACAGCTGCCTTGCCAATAATAACGTGGGAAACCCTGCAAAAAAGTCCACCAACATTATTGTGAGAGGTAAGTTTATCTTGAGTCATTGCTTCACAAATATTGGGTTACCCAGTAAATCAAAAGGCAATCACTGACCTAGTTTGATCTGAAATTATTTCCCCAAATATTACCTATGTCTGTAAGAGAAGGAAAGACTGCTTTGAAATAATGAGATATTGTCTAATAATAAATGGCACTTTTAAATCCTAAATCCAGGTGATATTGCTGTATGTTTGCTTTTATAACCTACTCTTCATGATAAGCTAAATCATTTTACTATCTAATATAGGTTAAGAAGAAAGTATAGCATAAGATGTACAACAGTGTTACACAGAGTATGTAACAGTTGAGAAATACCCTAAATTTAGGAATTCTATGTTTCATAAGCCTTTATTGAATCTATTATTACAATTAGCATCACACTATTGTAATCTATTTAATATTTCTCAATCTTCCTAATACTGAATTATCTAATGATCCATTTATCCAGTTACTGAAAGTTTCCTTTTTCATGGAATGAAAATAAAACATTGGTAGCATTTGGTATTCAGCAAGCATAAATGACATATTAACACTTGAAAAAGAGAACTCATTGTCATTGTTGGCTGATTGTAGTAAGGAATAGCTAGGGACATTTGCTCAGTTGTAGTAAGGAATAGCTAGGGACATTTGCTCAGAATTGAGATTGTGACATACCAATACTGAAGAATGACACTAGAAAATCAGAAAAGAAAAGGCAAATCCTATTGAAGGGGATGAAATAAAATGTGTGTCACTAATTTAGCATCATATGGCTGTTCTAGCTGGTACTAAAAAAGAAATGTTATTCTTCTCCATGGGAAGATGTAGTAGAGAGGCCAGGAGAACATATAAGACACTCTGTGCACCTTTCTGTCTTATTTTATCTGGTCTTGACTTGGGGTGGAGACAGATACTTGCATCTAACACTTCTGAGGTTAAGGTTGACATCTGTGTACTCTGGTGAATGCTTAATGATGAACCTTAATATTACTCATGACAGCAGTTTATGAAGGAAGCAAAACATAATTGATTTCAAGATTAGCATATGTGGTTTGTGAAAAAAGACTGGTGATTTTAGTGACTATCATCATTTGTCATCATCCAAATGACTACAAATCTATTACTTAACAGTGACATACTACATTCAAAATATTGTGAAGTATTATCATGTTTATCAAGACATCATTAGTGCCCTCTCAGCCACCAAATTGTGGATTTCCTGATATTTAATAATTGCAACATATACTACCATTTTATCCATCTCTTTAAAACAAAACACACTCACAATTAAGTTGCCACAGTGTTTTCTCATACAGGGGCATGCGATTTATCTTTTCTAAGCTCTGCATCATATTTTGGCATATGTGAAATGTAAATAAAAGTAAAATACATGGAATGATCCATACCCAGAGCCAATGTTTTAATCAGTCTTCATCCAAATTCTTTGGTAAACAGCCTTTTCTCTACAATCTTGTCCTTTAGGTCATAAAGGATAATTTATAATTCCAGGGAGATAGAGATCAAGATGATCACAATTCAAGGCAAGATGAGGATTAAATGTTTCCTGGATCTCATTTCAACAGATCAGTTGGGCACTCTGGCAGGCATCTGTTATCTCTGTTACTAGGGAGGCTGACATTGGGAAGATCACAATTCCAGACCAGCCCCTGTGAATACCATTTGTGTCAATCAAGATTTCCATTTCAGCAGAAAAGCTAGATATATGATAGAATGTACCTGTCATTCCTGGTACAGCAAGAAGTATAAACAGGAGAATCTTGTCCAGACCAACCAGGAAGTGGGAAGGACAGCAAGATTCAGTGTCAGAAACAAACAGAACAGAACAAAAAAGGCTAGAGGTCTTGCTCAAGTGGTAGAGTACCTGCCTAACAAGCATAAAACCCTGAGTTCAAATCCCTGACAAAAATACTTATAACTAAGATTTTTAGAGATTCATCAGTTCTGAGATTGTCTTCTAAGTTATATCACTATGACCTCGTTAATATGTCTGATAGAAGCAATGAGAAACTAGTGGATGTAAGACTCATTCTGACTTCATAAATGTAGAAAATAAGATTTTTAAAAGATTCATAACCAACAAAATGTGATCTTTATTTCAATTATTTAAGAAATTTTAAATGGATAAATTACATATGATAATAGAGTCAATGAGTGAAGCTAATTCCATAGATCAGGGACCATATACTTCCCTCAAAAAAAGCATACCTTTCTGTAAGGGAGATGCATATATAAATAATGATATGTAAGATAAATAAAAAGATAAAGTTCTCAAGTGGAAGAAACTAACCTTCCAGTTTTGAAAATAAGTATCAATGAAGTGAAACTTCTTCTAAGCCTGGACTCTGTGAGGAGCCAGATTCTGTATTCCTATTCCAAATTATAAAAGAAAAGATGAAACAGAAAAAGAAAGTACATGGTCACCAGTGTTTGGTAGTTTTCTTTGCTTTTAAAATGACTTGCTTTCCCAAGGAGCGGTGGAATAATCTATCAAAATTTGTTAAGCCTGAGATTAGATAAGCCACTGCAACATCTACACTTAAGTGCTATTGATCCAATAATAAAACTTTCATTCTATTGTTTTGTTAAAGATGGGAGCTCTCTAGGGGAAAATGTGCTATATCTAGTCAACATAGTCAGACAAAACCCTTTTCAACAATGAATCCATAAGCCGTTAGAAAATGTGTAGCAGAGAATGTGTGTGTTGCTCAGATACCCTCCATAAAGACCAACTCAGTGCCCAGCAACACATGCTCCCAGGATGACTTACTCCTCCCTTTCCTGCCTACAGCCTCCATCTGTGCACTTACCTTGTAAAGTTTCCAACTTTAACACAAATGACCTGAAATAAATAAAGCCCTAAAAATGTATTTCCCTGAACCATAATTTCTTTTTATGTTTTTAATTTGTCAGAAGTGCATATTTGCATAATCTTATTATATTACTAGTGGGACCTCTCAGCAGAAGCATTCACATAACTCATCAAGTCGAATCGGTATGTAATTTTGCTGAATATAGAAATAGTCTTGGCTAAACTGAGGAGAGGAAAGCTACTGCAATTATGTGAGATACCTGATTTCTCAGGGTAAGAAATTCAGTCCAGAGAAATGGCTTTCCTTTCACTGTATCAAATAAATTATTTCAGTCTTCTGAAATATGTAATGCCTGCAGTACCTTGGGTGATATAGCATGCATACAATAAGTACAGAATGGCAGACTTGTTTCTGTAATGAAATCAGAATCCAAGTTTCAAAACAAGTGTACTTTATACACAGAGTTACCATTTCAATTCATGAATGTCTATGTGCAGAGTCAGAGAAATTCTTCACATAAGAATGAGACTTTAGAAATATGTCCAGAATCCCCCTTTGACATATTGAAAAGTAGAGAACACGTTGAAATAAACTGTAATTGTACACTGCATATTAATTTATATGTATACATCTATCCATGAATATGGATAGATGTATGACTCTGTGGAGATAAAACTCAAACTGAATGTGATTCTCTTATGGCTTACTAATATGGGTAGAACATTTACTTTTTTATTATGAAAATACTATACAGAGGGGTTACGATTACATGAGCAAGGTAATGAGTACATTTCTTATCAAGCATTGTTGCCTCCTCCTTTGTTTCCCCTTCCATTTATAAGTATTATTGCAATGCCTTTTCATGCGATCTTTTAAGAAATGACAATGATATTCCTACTGAATCAGTAGTGAAGAAATTTCCCAGTCTGTCTAAAAGTAATATTACATTAAAATTACATGGAGTTTGGCCTGAGCCGTTTTCAAAGCCTTATGATATGTTATTTCATTTTTATTTGACGGTCTTATTGTTGTTTACTTACTGTATTGAGACATGCCCAGAGTTTCCTTCTGTTACGATTAAATTGTATTGTTTAGTAAATCACATGACAAAAGCATGACTAGATTTTACTGTATTGTGGCCCTTTTGACTGCCTATGGTCCATAAAATTACAAATACACATTGAACCCAAAATAGTAGTAAAATTCTAATTCTGGCTCAGTATAAAATGTTCTTGCCTCCCCAGACTCAACCAGTTTGGGGTTAGAACCTGGATTGGCAAAGGGAACTAGTGTATGGTACATTTTTTTCTCTTTGTCTTTGCTGTTCACCCTTCTATCTACATGGCTTGATACTAAGTTTCTTGGCTTGGGATTGAGGTATGGAGTCTTCTCTATACAAAACATTTTTTTTTAGGGGGGGATCCAGTCATGGGGCCTAGGCCTGAACTCTGGGCCTGGGCGCTGTTCCTCGGCTCTTCAGCTCAAGGCTAGCGCTCTAGCCCTTGAGCCACAGCGCCACTTCCGGCTTTTTTTCTTTTTGCTTATGTGGTGCTGAGGAATCGAACCCAGGGCCTCATGCATGCAAGGCAAGCGCTCTACCACTGAGCCACCTTCCCACCTCCAATATACAAAGCATTTTTAAAGCAGGGTATTAGTCTGTCTTACTTACCAAGAAGCACTGTGAGAATAGGTCTCCTAGTCCAGAGGCCACCTCTGCACTCTTGCCACATTTTGCCTGCCAGATAAGATTTGGGCACCATGCATTAGAAACATTTCAAAGCACTAATAGATCTCATGGAGAGATGCTCAATGTTTATCTATGAGAGAAAATAGATAAGTGAATTCCTTCATGTAGGATAAAGTTTCATCTCATAATTTTCCACAAGGAAACCCAAAGAAGTTTTCACCAACTCTGAGAAGGAAAAGTTTATGTCAGTTCAGAGTTTCACCGGTTTTCATTCATGCTTACTTGGTTGTATTGCTCCAAGCCTATGGTAAAGCATCACATACTGTCTGCGAGTAGAACAAAGTAGCTCATTTCACGATGGACAGGCAAGCACAAGTAGATGGGATCGGGAATAAGATGCAGCCCCTAGGGGAATGCCTGAAAACATCCACCGGCGTCCATTTCCTCCTCACCATGAGTTCCCATCATTTGCCAACACTTATCCGGTT